CGATGAATTACAATCTCTCTTTTCTTGAACAACGTTCTTAATTAATTCGATTCGATTCAATGGAATAATAACATATACATATATTTTCATTTAACTGTATTTTTAATAAAAAATGGATTTTTATTATGTTTTGTTGTGACATTTGTATTACAAAAGAAATTAGAATTCAGAAAATTTTTTAAATATTTCTATATTCTAATTCTTCCATTTATATTTATATCGGATTGTTTTGATTCAGAAAAAGTAAATAAATTAAGAGTAATACAGTCAATATACATAGAATATATGGCTATTTTAATATTCCTAATCGTGATAAGTGTGAGTCATGTCAAGCAGTAATTAAAATCAGGATTTTTAGTTTTTGTTATCTTGTCTAAAAACTTTCTGATTATCCGTTACAAATCTTTTCAAGTTTTTATCCTGTATACTATCATTACAATTCCCAAAGAGTCATTGGTGAAATAATCCTATAAATAGAATTATAGTCGCTCGAATTCATATGGGAATAATAGAAGTTACACTGGATACAATATATAACTTTTTGACATGTAATGTCAAATTATTGTCTTTGTTTTTTTTCTTTGAAGAATTTCATAACTACTAAATTTCTCACATGGTAAAGTTTAGATCTGTAATTTGTTAAGATATCGTGAATATATTCGAAATTTTTCATTAATCATTCATAGATCTCTTTATCAATCTATATCACATAATCAGTCATTGAAATCTATATTGTCTCTCTTTATCCGGATATTTCGGAAGATGAACCAATGAAAAGAAATGTTCTTTTTTATAAATCGATACTGCATGAAGTTTCTTACATAACATCCTTTTTCTAATCGATCTACAAATGATCACACAATATGTTTGTCCCTTTGTTCGTTCTACAGACAGTAACTATCAGTATACCGCAATTTGATTGTGGGTGTAGTAGCGGTTTTTTGTCATTGACGGCGAATAACACTGGTGTAGCACACAACATATTGATCTATTATAGTTGTTCTTGTAAGTAAAATTTTATGAATAATAACAATTACAAGTCATGTGTAAATTCATGCCATTATCGAACAAATAGATTATAATCCATACACAAAAACATGATCACATAACAATATTTCATACAAAAACTGTCAAATATTTTTGTCGAGTTCAAAGATATATCTATTATAATTGGAATATGCTATCAACTTTCGAGTAAAATGATTGACTTTATTCAGAAATTCTACTAGTAAAATTTGTTGTAATTTTACATTTTTATGAATAATAGCTAGAGGAATAAATATCATACCAGCGACTATTGCTGCCTCAGAAAGATTATTTAATTCAACTGTCTAGACATTTACTCAAAGACGAACACACTTATCATCAAGTCAACTTAATAAAATATTATTTATTTGTTCAAATAAGAACTTCAAGAAAAAAAAAATTTATTCGTTCTCGTTATTCATTTGCTTATATTGATTACATTTTGAATCTCGTATCTTTATATTTGCTTCATTATTCTCTTGTTCGTCCTATGGATGTCAAATATCTTTTTATTACTCATTTCATTTGTGTTGTAAAAAATCTGATAAGGTTTATTAACATGATTATATTGTAAATGGTTTTTTTTTTATCTTATAAATAGTACGTCTATGATCTTTGACACCATAATGCAACGTACATATTAGTTTTCATTTGTCCTGTGACATTCTCTGATTTATATTCTAAAACAATACATTGTCTGTAATTTTGTTAATAGAGATACACTCATACTCATTCAAACAATCGTTTCAGCTTATTCAAATATCAAAGTTGATGTTTTATTTCAAAAATGTATTTCGTACAATTTTATTATAATGAGCGATTTACAACAAAACATTCGAATTTTTTTGTCATGACTTGTAATAACAAATCTTGTTTATTTGTTATATTTTTAAATTAAATGAAAACATATCATACGAAAAGAAGCAAAAAAAAAAATTCTCTACGTAGAAGAATAAACATAGTAAAAGAAAAAAAAATCTTTTTTTTATTTTTTTTGAACATATATTTGTACTAGAAATCAAGAAATTCTCTTGGAAATCGTTCAGTTGTGCTTACTGTTAATGGTTGTTCATCATATGTTTCATAATTTTCTTTATCAGTTCTTGGTATAAATGGTGCTTGAACAGTTTTTTCATAAATAGCTATGAAATCTATATCTTTATACCATCGATGTTCTTTAATATCTTTAACACCAGATTTTAAATTACCAAAACGACGTGTTAAATCAACTTGAAGTAAATTTTTAAGTAAATCTTTAAGTTCAACTGAAAAATGATTTGGAAAACGAACACGACCAGAAACAATTTTTTCATAAATTTGTATTGGTTGATCAGCAAAAAATGGCGGATAACCAGCTGTCATTTCATACTAAAGACAAAAAAAAAATTGTACTCCAAAAAACAGATAAGAAATGTCAAGGTCATACGTACCATTAGTACACCTAATGCCCAATAATCAACACCTTTATTATAACCACGACTAAGAATTATTTCTGGTGCAAGATATTCTAAAAATAAAAACAATTAAGATACAATTCAATTATTGAAAAATCAATTCATTAAGCAAAAATTTACCGGGTGTTCCGCATAATGTCCATGTACGATCTTTCACACGTTTTGCAAAACCAAAATCTGTCTAGAGAGAAAAAAAAAATTATTTTTATATGGATTTTTCAATAAGATATACCATTTTCAAATAACCATCAGATGCAAAAAGTAAATTTTCTGGTTTGAGATCTCTATAAATCTAAATATTTTCAAAAATTGAAAAAAAAACAGTTATAAAATCTTTTCATATTAACTTACAACGCCTAAATGATGAAGATATTCAAAAGCAAGTATAATTTGTGAAGAATAAAATCTTGCCATATCTTCTGTATAACGTCCAATAGCACGTAAATGTGTAAAAAGTTCTCCTCCAGGTGCATATTCAAGAGCCAAATATAAATAAGAATTATCTTTAAATGTATATAATAATTTAACAATAAATGGTGATGATAATGCTTGAAGAATTTTTTTCTCTGCTAATGTATGATCAATTTGTTTCATTTTAACAATAACTTGTTTATCAAGAATTTTTAAAGCTAATTTTTCATTGACAGAATCAGTTCGATGTTTTACCAAAATTACTCGACCTTCAAAAAAAAATAAAAGAAATTTTTTTGATTAATGAAATTTTGTTTTTTTTTTTTTTTATTTACCAAATGATCCAGTACCAATTGTACGCATAAGTTCAAAATCATCTATACTACCATTTTGTCGAATAGGATTTTCAATTTTTTCAATAAATTTTTCTTTTTCTTTTTCAAGAAATGTATGAATATCTGTTGGACTTCGTTTAACACTATTACTTGTACCCATACGAGTATTTATTCAAAGATAGATTGAAAAATAGAAAAAGAAAACGAAAACCAAATATTTGAATAGTGATATATATATATATCAATGAATATCAGAACAATTTCATGAAATAATATATAGATGATGATTCTGATAAACTAAAAATCGAGAAAAAAAATGAATATAGATGATATTTTTTAATTTAAAGAATGTATCAATTTTCTTTGTTTTTTTCACGCTAAAAAAATATATATTTCATTTAATCATATTCTCATGTATATAATGTACTTGTATACTATAAATAATCATATAACAAGAAAATATCATTTTGCTTTGCTTCATTCTTTCTATTCAGATTTGGATAAGATAATTTAAATGAGAAAAAGATTAAAACTAATAAAGAGCTTGTATATATTTATAGATATTAAAAAATTAATTACTCGGATTATTTTGTTTTTTTTTCATTTATATAAAAGATTTTGTTATTAATTTCAGTCTATAAAACCTTGAATAATCTAACTATGACAAAACGCGAAAAAAACAACAATAATGTTTATTGATTTATCAATTCTCTTACAGAAAATTAGTATAAATATCACTATCTGTATCAGTACAAAGTCAATGTAAATTTTCAATTTACAAGAAAATCTAAAATATATACCTATGGGTCGTCGATCGATCTTTTTTTTTATTTCATTGAAAAATATCCAAAAAAAAAAAAGGAACGAGAAAAAAAATTAAGCTCACTTCATATCCCTTTATCATTGTTGATGAAAAAGAAAAAGAGAACTAATCTTTTATCTATATAATATAACATGATATAATACTTATATCAAATAAAAGGATTTTCATGCAGTTATGACTCCCAAGAGAATATTTCGTTTCATTTGAGTCAAACAAATTATCTAGTACATTGATTAATTTTGTTCTACAAGTTCCTATACTCATATGATAAAAAAATAAAAATTCGCGCTTCTCTAAAAATTATCACTAGATTGATGAATGATAAAATGCGAACAAATGGAAATAAGAAGAGATAACAGATAACTATTAATAATAAAAATTAATCGAAAAAGTTCAGAAGATATTCTTCTTTAAAAAGAAAAACGACACTCACACATCCTAGAAAATTTTGTATTACATCAAAGTGATTTATATAGAGTATGATAAAAGACTAAGAAAGACTTTTTTTTTCAAGATTTACAAGCTGATATTATTATTGGTTGTTTTTTGTTCTTACTTTATGATCTTCGTTATAAAAAAGAAAGAAGAAAGACAAGAACTACCATTATAAATCGTCGATAGTACATTCTTTTCTTATAGAGTTCAGAAAATAATAAAAAAAAAGGTAGTTTAATAATCAAGTCAAAGGAATAAACATTGTGTTTTTTTTAATACAAAATGAGTAATACATTCATAGCTTACATTAAATATCCATGTATTGCATAATTATTTGTTTTTCTTAGACTGATTGAAAAAATATATATATTTGTTTTTTGATAATAAATATTTCATATAACAATTCTATGTTAATCAATACTCTTCCACATAGAATTCTATATAGAATTTATATTAGTATCAATATCGCTTGTTTTCATGTTATTATCCCTATTATTTACGCCGTTTTTTTCTTCTTCTTGTTCTATATTTATATTTCCATCGAGGTTTTTTTTTTTTTACAAGCTCCAAATATTGTTTACGAATATGAATCCATCAGAATTAATTAGAATGTTAGAAATAGAATGAGAAACAGTCGATCAAATTCTATCATCGTCTAATTAGTAGAAATAATATTCATAATTTGTTGATTGTTTGAATTAATATATTTAATATAGTTTTTTTTATGTATTCGAGTGCATTTGTAAGATAATAAATAAACGATCCGTTGCATGTATCTAATTTTATTAGAGAAAAAATTTTTATAGTAAAGAATATCAAAGATTTTAGTTTAGATCAATGAGTAAAATTGAAATCTACTCTTTGATTGAATTATTTGAGAATCAATTCATTGAAGAAAAAAAAAAATATTACAAAAATAAAATTTGCATTTTTCTTATAATATATATATATAAAGTTTCCGATAATTGTAGGTTAGTACGTACTATTTTATGATAAGCAGAAAAATGTCAGCCGTAATGTATTAGTAGGCATTCGAGACATAACGGAATCTTTGTTCTTTCTATTATTATCTGATATGATATGAGAGGAAAAGTTCCGGTTTTGTTTTCTTTTTCTTGCGTCAGAATTTAATACTTATTTTAATAAGGAAATTGAAGTTTAGTTTTAATTTTCTTTCTTGAGAAATTGAAATTGATGACGTACTTCATAGAGAAAATGAAATTCTGAATGACTCTATGACATAGATATAGATAAAAAATTGATCATTAAAGAGTATTGATATAGGAAATTCAATTTTTTGTACTAAAAACAAATATCTACGTACAGTAGATAATCAAAAAGAGAACGCATTATTTATTAATGAAACATTGATTATGAAGAAAAAGCTATGTTTATCTATATGTTTATTTATTTTATGTCGATGACATTCAAAGAAGAAAGCAATAGATTATATATTTTTTTTTTGCAAAGACTCTGTTCTGTTCATAAACGATAGGAAAGTTTGTTTACATTTGTTAATATCGCATTCATAAGCTGTACTTTATTCTTAGTAATACGAGGTATTAAAAAACTAATTAGAAGTATAAGCCGATGTTTCAATGAATAACGGTAACTGCTAAAATTGCTGTCGGATGCTTTAATAATTTTCTAGATGACGGAGTTTTTGGTTGGAGGAAAAAAAGACAATAACAGTGCAGAAACGTGGATAATAAATTAGACAAAAACATTCTCAAAAAAAAATGACCTTAGCAGTTGAAAATCTATAAAGCTTATACTCATTTATGTTTTTGATTATTAGTTTCAAATTCGCATAGTAATTTAGACTCTTATTTCTACCCAAAAACTGATTGGAAAAAATAAATGACTGTTACGTTTGGAATGTATTGTAAACGATCATAAATGGTAGGATACTTAATTTTCAGTCCGTTTGACAAAGGTTATCAACTGTGTATGATACAATAAAAGACGGTCGTAATACTGCGCTTAGCAAACATCAACATACAATTATTTACGACTGCAAACTGTATGCAACAACAATATGCAGTACCTTTTTTTTAGTGGTTGTGTCAGTGACTGTTATCATTGTTGTGTGCTACAACGAGCAACTTAAATTTAATATATTTATATGAAACAAACATATTCCATTTTGATGTAAGTGAAGCTAATAGAACTGAATTCACTTATATTCTGTCGAGATTCGTTATAGAAAATGTTCCAATATTGGATGTGGTTGTGATTGTTTTTATCTTCTTATTGACACCGAAACCAAAACTCAACTAGGTCACTAACTGAGATGTTAACTAATCAATTGGATCCAGATTCTTTTTCAATTTTGAACTCATGTGGCGAAAATCGAGTAACTCATATTGTCCTCTTTATATTCTAGTATATCTATACGGGATTCTCTCAGGAATTAGTAACAAAACTCATTTTCATGTTTCAAATAATCATACAATTTTTTCGCTCGTTGCCAATACAACTCAACGAGTTTAGTCAATGGTAAAATCAGATATCTATGAGTCCCAAAATATTAATATTTAGCTTTAAGATTCAATGATACATGTAGATATATCTGTGTGATTTTTATGTAGTAGCTTGTTATGAAGATTCTACTTTTTGTTTTAACCATAATTTTATATATGATTTATGTCACACTTAAGCTTGTTGTCATTGAAATATATGTTCATGAATGCAATTTTGTCTTGAAATCATTATTTCGATTCAAATTATTACTATCATAGCCTATAGAAAAATAGGAGAAGCTATGTAAGAAATGTTTCTTGAAAAAAAAAACTAAAGTTATGAATATGGATCTTTTTAAAGTGATGTCACTGATGATGCCTAGTACTATGTACGTAGTATTGGAGTTGCTAGATATTCTTTTTAATCTACTGAATTCGATTTGCTGTGAATAATGAACATGATCCGTTTTTGTTTCAAGGGATCGAAACGAGACAGATAGTTGTAGAAGAAAATAATGGTTCAGTTTTGAAAATAAACGGTGAGTCAATATATTAAGCCTAATAACGATGATTTTTTTGAAGGTACAAGAAAGATATACCTTTCCACGTTGAAACTTAGTTCTAACTCGTATTGCCAAGGAAAAAATTGACTTAGTCAGTGACTAGAACACATCTTCAAAATTCTAGTCTTACTCCGCATCTAAAACTTATCGATAGAATAATTTTCCGAGTCTGCTTAATGCTTCACATAGATAAATATGATTTTTGTAGAACGTTCGCAAAAGTAGAGCGTCGCAGATATGCTAAAATAGGGAGAAAATTTCAGAGTGGTCTCTTGATTTCTTTTTTCGTACGCATTTCAAGCTAAATGAAGTCTAATTACACCGTTGGATAAAGCTTTTCAAGTTGTACTTGAAATGAGAATAGTAATGTTGAAACTTGTGCCGTAACGAATCCTGACGGAAAATACTTGAGTTAAGACTTAGTTTTACTTATATTGTGATATTTTGTAATTGAATGCCAAAAATTTTGTTTTCATTCTGTTGTTGATGTTGTTTTTTGTGTCTCTATGTGTATGAAGACATTTCTATAATGAACCACAAAAGAATTTAGAATGCATTTTCAATCAAATGTCAAAATCTTTTTTTAGATTAAGAGGGTATAAAATAGTTTATCTTAGTAGAACACATCTTATAGGATGATCTTTTCGTTGCATTTCTAACAAGAATTAAAACTCATTGGTATATGATGTGCGATGTCAAAGATCATAGACATGCTATTTATATAAAAATCATTTACAATAAAGTTGTCTTAATAAATCCTATCACATGTTTTCCAACAAAAATGAAATAAACAATAGAAAATAAAATACAGTACAATCTCTTTATAGAGGACATCTAAGGAACCTTTCCAAAGTATCCACAATATGGAGGTGCACAT